CCAAGGGATAGTGACAGGTGACAGAAATATTCTGTATCGTGACTGCAGTGGTGGCTCCATGAATATAAACTCACCAAGCTGCACGCTTGAAATGTGTATATTCTATTGTTTGTATAATATACCTCAGTAAAATTGATTTTTTTTTTTAAATCTCAAGAGAAACAGCATTGTATAGTAAGTAATAAAAGAAATTGGAAGGAATCTAAATGTTAAAGAAAATGGATAATAAGCCATCATATATTCAGTAACTGGGGAACTATACAGCAGCAAAAATGAAAGAACCAGATTGAGCATACACATAAGTATGGACAAAGCTCAAAAACATAAGATTGAGTGAAAAAAAAAAGCAGACTCCAGAAGAAAACATTAATGTTTGATGTTATTTATTTGAGATATAATCACATGTAAAGCAATTCTATACGTTGTTCAAAGATCCACACGTACATGATAAATGCTTGAATAAGAACATAGAAATGATAGACACCAAATTCAGGAGAATAGTTGTGAGTGGAAGCAATTTCTTACCAGTAGAGAGTGCATGAGTGGTTCTTGTATTATTCTTTATGTTGTTTGTGTGCTTTAAAGATTTCACAGGAAAACAAACAACAAACTAACAAAAACTTAAACCCAAAGACCACCTCCAGTTGGGAGATGGTCTAGCTGGTATCAGGAGATCTGAGCTTTGGTCCAATTTGTCCTTGGACTTCATGTTCCAACCTGGCAAAGTCAATTCTTTCAGGATGGGAGGCAGGAGCCTCACGCTGGGAAAAAAAAAGGGTAAGAATCCATCGTGGGCATCAGAAGAGTGGTTGTGCCTAGAATCAGCACTCAAAGGGAATTAATGAATGTCGGCATCCTTTCTTTGCCTCTCCAATGCAGTGACCTGCAAGCTGAAGGGGAGCCGGGTAGGGTAGGGGATGGGGGAGCCCCTGGGGAGGGGTGTCGGGCGGGCACAACTGGAGGCAGTAGGGCTAGAGAAGAGGGGCTGCTCCGCGGTGTCCAGAGACCAGGGACTCGGGGTAGACCACCCAGGGAGCAGAATCGAACCCTCACCGTGGGTTGTGCCCGGGTCTTCAGCCTCCTTGTGGACTTCGGTCACTGAGTTGCGAGACCCTTAACAGCAAGGGCGTGTCTTTCCAGATCCCGGAGGACCCAGCTCCTGAGCAAGGTTGCCAGGTCTAGAGCGCATTGTTTAGAGAAACATGCACAAGAGACTTCCAGTTACTGCGTGGCTGGCCTAGTGCCAGGCTTCGAGCTCTCTCATCAACTACTGCCCTAACGCAGAGAGGGAAAGTGACCAGTCGAAGGTCACACCGCAGGCGATTGAAACTTGATACTTCTATATCCTTGGGCAAGTTATTTCACCTCTCTGGGTCCAGTTTTCCTATGGGTAGAGTGGGTAAAAAGTTGTGTGTGTCTGGAAGACTCCATACCAAAGTATCAGTGGATATTTCTATGTGGTGAAGTTATGGGTGACTGTTATTTTTAATTTGGTTTATCCTTATTTTCTAATTTGTTGTTTCATAATGAACATGCATTTAGTTATTTTTATTTTTATTAAGAGTAACAGCACAGAATTGTAAGAACTGAAGGAGACTATGAAAAGCACTGAGCACAATTTCTAGTTCACAGTCTGTTCTCCATAAATGCGAGTTCTCCCTGCTCACTCTTCCCTCTTATATTTACCTGCTCTTCTGGTTGGAGACTCTGGCCCCCAGACCTCAGGTTGGGAAGAAGGTGTGGTGGTACAGAATTCTATTTACTAGCTGAGTAGCTTTGGATAAATCACTTGACCTCTCTGAGTCTCAGTTACCTTGTCTGCAGAATGGGAAGAAAAACAAAGGAAGTTTTCAAGGACTATATGCCATACAAGATGGGAAACTGCCTGGCATACAGTAGGTCTGCAGTAAGTGTCTGTAGGAAGGAACATGATGCACATGATAAAGGAACAAGCATTACAGTAGGTTCTAGACCAGAAGAGGTCAAAGATTCTAGCATAGATTCCAAAGAGCCCAAGGGGTCCACAGATAGAGCTCAGCATGGGAGAGGTCCATGAACTTGGACTGAAAAAAGTGACATCCTTGTTTTCACTACCGCTAAGTCAAACTTAGCATTTCCTTCTATCATGCACATAAGCAACGTCACATAGTATTAGCAGAACTTGTAACTTTGTCACCAGTGATGTGTGGGTGCTCAGTCACTTGTAACCCTATGAACTCTAGCCTGCCAGGCTCCAGTGTCTATGAAATTCTCCAGGCAGGAATACTGGAGTGGGTTGCCATGTCCTCCTCCAGGAGATCTTCCTGACCTAGGGATCAAACCCACATCTCTTGCATCTCCTGCTTTGCAGACAGATTCTTTATCATCTGAGCCACCAGGGAAGCCCTGTCACCAATAGAAATCATAGTTATTTTTGTATTGCATTACAGTAGCAATATCTTGAAATCTTGTTTTTATACTCATTCACCACCTAAAAATTAACAATAGTTAATAGATAAATCTCTATATCTTATTATTTAATATGTTAAAAAAGAACTAATTCACAAAATAACTATTTAGCTAATAATTCTATATAATTGGTATACTTTGTAATTCTAATTTACTTTTTGTAGTTAAAAACATTCTTCTGAATAGGGGACCATAGTCTTCATCAGTGCCAAAAAGGACTGTTGGCTAGACAGACATGGTACTAGTCCCTCCTGGGCCACTGGCTGCTTTGTGACATTGGGCTTGTTATCTCTGTAAGGGGTATAATCATCCCTTCCTGGCTCACTCCACAGGGTTGCTGGAGAAACTAACGCTTGGCAGGAAAGGGCTTTGGAAACTGTTGGCAGCTTCCCAATTTGCCAAAAGCCAGAGCAGAGTGCTTTGTATCTCAGCTGAATCCCATGTCTTCAGGAGACCTTGCTCCTTTCCACAGGATTCCAAATCCCTCCTCTTTAATCTCTACCTGATAAAGAGGCCAAAGTGCACCTCCCTTAGAGTATGTCATCCAGTTCCCAGTTTGCAGAGATTCACAGGAGGAATTTTCTGGAGGATAAAACAATTCCTTCCAGTTTTCATATTCAATACTACCCCCTCAAAACTCCTTCCTTCTTCAGATGGTGATCCCTTCCTGGCCATGGTCCCTGCATTTCCCCTTTCCCTGCCCTGTCCTAGATCATCTGTCTGGCTCCCATTCTATACTGTGTTTCAGGGCAGACCCAGATCTGACCTCTCTCAGGGGGCCCAGTGCCAAGGGCATGGCACACCTCAGCATCTGAGGAGCTAGCCTGGATGAAGAAAAGGAACCTAAAGCACAGAGACAAAAAAAGCAGAGCAGGGGTAGAGCTAGGGCTTGAGATCCCCTGATGCTCATTATTTATCCCATTCACATTGAAAGCAAGAGATAGAGGAACTGGGGACTCCCAAGGCATCACATCAGCTATTTCCTACTCTCCCCACTGCTGTAAGAAATCAGGAGAGCTAAAGATTTTGTGCGAGTTCCCACTCATCAGAACAATGGGAGGTGTCAGATTCAGTGGCTTTCAAACCTTTTTGACCTGACTCAAAAGGAGAAATCCTTTTTACATTGTGATCTGGACCACAATGCATACAGACATATGTAACTGAAACATTTTATGAAAGAATACTTAGCTTTACTATTTGCAGTATAGTTTTTCTATTCCATTAATTTTTTTTCTTAATGCTAGCTGTAACTCACCCACTGATTACATGATTCACAGGTCCTTTTCAGCCTGAGCACTCTGTAATTGAATAGGAATTATTGACAACTAAAGTCCAACAGCCCCTAGTCCTGGCTCAGTGTAACTGGGCCAAACTGTGCACCTTAATGTAGAGCCTGGATCTCCCCAGTGTACCCTAACTGGACAGACATAATCTGCAAAGGCTTCCTATAACTCCTTCAGACTGTAGGAAGGAACGTCTTCTGATCCTAATAACACTAACCTTGTGATCTGGAAGGGTTATGTGAGAACGGTCAGGCCTATTGGCTTTGCTCCTGGGTGGGTGGAGTTACCATCTGAACATCCACCAGCCCCCTTATCCTAGGCCAGTGTGGGAGAGAGTGTGGACAGGGGAGTGTGAACACATCAGTGCATGAGCTAGCTGCTCAGGGAAAGGGAGTTGCAGGCAAGGAAGCCAAAGGATGACAAGATGTAAAAGTTACTGAAAAAGAGGCGCTGTGGAATCCCCAGAAAAATCAAGGGCTTGGGAACAAGAAAGACCCAGGTTAAAATCCTATGGGCTTAAGAGTTCAGGAAAATGACTTTCATCTGACCCTTAGCTCTCATTTATAAAATAAGTTTGAAAATCCCTGGTCCTCTGGGTTGTTGTGAAGGTTAAGTGAGATCGTGTATTAACCATACCTGTACTGACCCTACTGTGGGTCGATGGCAGGTTCCTCGTCTGTGTCCAACACTAGCCTGGAACTGCCCGGGGATTCCCAGTGACCCGCGCAGTGCGTACCTAGCTCAGTGGCCAGTGCTCAGCACAGGTGTGGAATCCAAGCCGGTGACTTCGATTCCCGCTTTGCCACCCTGGACAGGGCTGTCTCTCTGAGCACCCAGCGCCTGAGTGCGTTCACCGGGAACGGAGTGGGGCCGGTGGGAGCCGCGGGCAGAGACCAGCGGCGGCTCTCCCGTCCCGGCTCCGCGAGTCGCCCCCGACCCCGCGCCCGCCTTCCCGCCCCGCCCCACTCCCACCGCTCCTCGGCCCTCCCCCTTCCTTCCTGCCTCTCCCTCCTCCGCCCCCCCCCCTAGGCAAGACCTGTCCGCGCACCCGACTGCCTCTCTCGATCCTCTCCAGACCCTCGGGGACTCTGGGTCTCTCACCACTCCATCTGCGCCCATCTGTGGGCCTCTCCGTCTCTGTGTCAGTCTCTGTCTCTCTGTTTATCTCTGCTGTCTGTGTCTCTTTCTCGGGCTCATTGCTGTCTCCGTCTGTCAGTCCGTCAGGCCGTCTCGGGGCCCGGGGAGGCGGCTGGCCGCGCGCGGGTCGCGATGAGCGGCGCCTGCACGAGCTACGTGAGCGCGGAGCAGGAGGTGGTGCGTGGCTTCAGCTGCCCGCGCCCGGGGGGCGACGCGGCCGCCGTCTTCTGCTGCGGCTTCCGCGACCACAAGAACTGCTCCGACGACCCGCACAGCTTCTTCCCCTACGAGCACAGCTACCTGTGGTGGCTCAGGTACCGGCCCTGGCCCTCACCCCACCTAGAACCCCGCTCCCGTCCTAGCCCCCTTGCTCCATCTTCGGCCCAACCGCGTGCCAAACCCGCAGTCCTCATCCAAGCGCGCACCCCAGTGTCAGCACCGACCCCCACCCCACCTTTACCCCCCTCAGGCTCTCACCAACCCAGATCTCCCCTGCAGCCGCTTCTCTGCTCCATCCCCCCATTTTAACTCAACCGTTATTCAGAGCCATCCTTGAACCTTACCCCAACTCCACCCTGGAAAAGCTTCATTTCATCCCCACTCCAAATGGCATCATCCACCACCCTCAACCCAAATTACATAACAACCCCCACCCTAACAGCAAACTCCCATCCTGCAGTATTCACAGGCTAACTCCTCCTTTAACTGTGTGCCCAGCAGGGTCCCCTTCCTGATATCACCAACCTCATCCCCGACCTTACCCACTCCCCAGTACTGATCCAAGCCCTTACTCTATCAGAAGCCCTAATCTCCTCTATCTTCCCTGAAACTCCACCTCAGCTCTCCTTCCCCACCCTGACGCCAAACATTATCTTGATCTCACTTACAAGCCTTAATACCTCATCAGACGCTATTCCCCAACTCAACCCAAGTCTCAGCCCAACCTCAGTCTTTTAGTTCCCGCTCATATTTAGTCATTCTTTCAGCCACCCTTTCCTGTGAACTTAGCATGCCAGGTCCTGTGGTGAGTTCTGAGCAAAGGCAGATGACCAGAGATTCAGAGTAGCCTTCAAGTTCATCATTAAACAATGACATAATGCCACAGCAGAAGCCAGATCAGTGTATTTGCAGTGAACTCCCACCCACAGGACCTCAGTCTCCTCACTTGTTCAGAGAAGGAGATGATAAGGCCAGTGCTGACATTCCTGGAACCTAATGGTGGAGCTGAGAGGTCAATAGATCAATAGGTCTCAGTCTCTCTGGGTCTCCAAAGGTCTCACCCAGAAAACAGGACCTGATCCTGAGTCTGCTCGGGAAAACAGGCATCAGCAAAAATGGAGTGGGCCATCTCTGTAGACACTGATCTTCCTGTCCCTGGAGGTATGTGGCTGGAGGCTGCATACCCTCTGGGTGGAAAAGGATAGCCTGCCTCAAACCCTCTCTGAGCCACTGTCTTTTCATTTATCAGATGGGAATGATGATACTGACTAGGGCAAGGGCCAAATGAGATCAAGATAAAGGTAAAATCAGCTTGGCATATGCCACTAACAATTACAGATATCATTGCTTTTTCTAGACAGCTTGGTTTATAATTTCAAAGGATTTTCAGATGGCCAGGTTTTCAAATTCTGCACATTTGGCTGCTGTTGCCTGCAGAATTATATTCATATATTCTCCATTCATCCATATTTTCATTCGTTCATTATAGCTTTTTCTTTGTGCCAGGTTCTATGCTAGGCACAGTTAAGTTGTGAAGTCATGTCCAGTTCTTTGCAACCTCATGGACTACAACATGCCAGGCTTTCCTGTCCTTCCCTATCTCCCTGAGTATGTCCTTCACTGTCTCCCTCAGGTCCACTAAGTTGAGGATGCCATCCAACCATCTCATCCTCTGTCACCTCCTTCTGTCACCAGGAGGAGGGCACCACCTCCTGCCCTCAGTCTTTCCCAGCATCAGTGTCTTTTCCAATGAGCTGGCTCTTCACATCAGGTGGCCAAAGTATTGGAGCTTCAGCTTCAGCATCAGTCCTTCCAATGAATATTCAGGGTTGATTTCCTCTAGGATTGACAGGTTTGATTTCCTTGCTGTCCAAGGAACTCTCAAGTGTCTTCTCCAACACCACAGTTCAAAAGCATCAATTCTTTGGCACTCAGCCTTCTTTATAGTCCAACTCTCACATCCATACATGACTACTGGAAAAACCATAGCTTTGACTATATGGACCTTAGCAAAGTGATGTCTCTTTTTTAATATGCTCTCTAGGTTTGTCATAGCTTTCCTTCCAAAGAACAAGCGTCTTTTAATTTCATGGGTACAGTCACCATCTGCAGTGATTTTGGAGCCTAAGAAAATAAAATCTGTCACTGTTTCCACTTTTTCCCCAACTGGTTGCCATAAAGTGAAGGGACCAGATGCCATGATCTTAGATTTTTCAATGTTGAGTTTTAAGCCAGGTTTTTCACTCCCCTCTTTCACCCTCATCAGAAGGCTCTTTAGTTTCTCTCACTTTCTGCCATTAGGGTGGTGTCATATCTCAGATTATTGATATTTCTTGTAGCGATCTTGATTCCAGCTTGTGATTCATCCAGCCTGGCATTTTGCATGATGTACTCTGCATATAAGTTAAAGAAGCAGGGTGATGATATACAGTCTTGAGGTACTCCTTTCCCAATTTGGAACCAGTCTGTTGTTCTATGTCCAGTTCTGTTGCTTCCTGACCCACATACAGGTTTCTCAAAAGACAGTGGTCTGTTACTCCCACCTCTTTAAGAATTTTCCACAGTTTGTTTTGATCCACACAGTCAAAGGCTTCAGTGTCGTCAATGAAGCAGATGTTTTTCTGGAATTCTCTTGCTTTCTCTATGATCCAGTGGATGTTGGCAATTTGATCTCTGGTTCCTCTGCCTTTTCTAAATCCAGCTTTTACATCTGGAAGTTCTCAGTTCATGTACTGCTAAAGCCTAGCTTGAAAGATTTTGAGCATTACCTTGCTAGCAAGTGAAATGAGTACAATTGTATGGTAGTTTGAACATTTTTTGGCATTGCCCTTCTTTGAGATTGGAATGAAAATTGACCTTTTCCAGTCCTGTGGCCACTGCTGAGTTTTCCAAATTTGCTGACATATTGAGTGCAGCACTTTCACAGCATCATCTCTTAGGATTTTAAATATCTCATCTTGAATTCCATCACCTCCACTAGCTTTGTTCGTAGTGATGCTTCCTAAGGCCCACTTAACTTCACATTCCAGGATGTCTGGCTCTAGGTGAGTGATACCACCATTGAACCAAGTGAACCACTGTGGTTATCCTGGTCATTAAGACCTTTTCTATATACTTCTGTGTATTCTTGCCACCTCTTCTTAATCTCTTCTGCTTCTGTTAAGTCTTTGCCATTTCTGTGCTCTATTGTGCCCATCTTTGCATGAAACCTTCCCTTTCTCCAGTTTTCTTGAAGAAATCGCTAGCCTTTCCCATTCTATTGTTTTCCTCTCTTTCTTTTCATTATTCACATAAGAAGGCTTTCTTATCTCTCCTTGCTATTCTCTGGAACTCTGCGTTTAGTTGGGTATATCTTTACCTTTCTCCTTTGCCTTTTGCTTCTCTTCTTTTCTCAGCTATTGTAAGGCCTCCTCAGACAACCACTTTGCCTTCTTGCATTTCTTTTTCTTGGGGATGGCTTTGGTCACGGCCTCCTGTACGGTGTTAGGAACCTCCGTCCATAGGTCTTCGGGCCCTCTGTCTACCAGATCTAATGCCTTGAATCTATTCATTTCCTCTCCTGTATAATCATAAGGGATTTGATTTAGGTCATACCTGAATGGCCTAGTGGTTTTCCTTATTTTCTTCAATTTAAGCCTGAAATTTGCCATAAGAATCTGATGATCTGAGCCATGGTCAACTCCAGGTCTTGTTTTGCTGACTGTATAGAGCCTCTCCGTCTTTGACTACAAAGAATATAATCAGTCTGATTTCATTATTGACTATCTGGTGATGTCCATATGCAGAGTTGTCTCTTGTGTTGTTGGAAGAGGGTGTTTGCTATGACCAGTGTGTTCTCTTGACAATACTCTGTTAGCCTTTGCCCTGCTTTATTTTTGTCCTCCAAGGCCAAACTTGCCTGTTACTCCAGGTATCTATTGGCTTCTTACTTTTGCATTCCAGTCCCTATGATGAAAATTTGTGTGTTAGTTCTAGAAGGTCTTGTAGGTCTTCATAGCACTGTTCAGCTTCTTCAGCATCAGTGGTTGGAACATAGACTTGGATTACTATGGTGTTGAATGGTTTGCCTTGAAAACAAACTGAAGTCATTCTGTTGTTTTTGAGATTGCACCTAAGTACTTCATATAAGATTCTTTTGTTGACTATGAGAAATACTCCATTTCCTCTAAGAGATTCTTGCCATAGTAGTAGATATAATGGTCTTCTGAATTAAATTCATCCATTTCCATCCATTTTAGTTCACTGATTACTAAAATGTCAATATTCACTCTTGCCATCTCCTGTTTGACCACATCAAATTACTTTGATTCATGGACCTAACATTCCAGGTTCCTATGCAATATTGTTCTTTACAGCACTGAACTTTACTTTCACTGCCAGACACAACCACATCAACATCTATAAACCAGACGGGTCATGATGGACAGTTCTGACAGAATGTGGTCCGCTGAAGGAAAGTATGACAAACCACTCCAGCAGCATTCTTTCCTGGAGAATCCCATGAACAGTGTGAAAAGGCAAAAAGATATGACACCAGAAGATGAGCCCCCCAGGTCAGTAGGGGTCCAATATGCTACTGGGGAAGAGTGGAGAAATAGCTCCAGAAAGAGAGCTGGGCCAAAGTGGAAACAATGCTCAGTTTTGGATGTGTCCAGTAGTAAAAGAACATTACTTCACACCATTTTAGGGCTAGTTGCATTTACATATTCACAGCCCTGGCACATCTTCTCTCCATTTTACAGATGAGAAAACTTGTAAGAGGCCAATTTACTATCTTAGATTACCTCAGTGAAAGGAAGTGTCAGAACTAGGATGAGAACTCAGGCCTGTCTGGTCCCAAGGCCTGGCTTGACTTGCTCCACATATGTCTAAGTCTAAATGACTCTCATAACCTGCTCTACTCAGATCACTTGAAAAGTCACTGGCTGACCCTCTGCAGTCTTCTGGGCACTGTTGTGGCACTTGGGGATACAGAAATGAGTAAACCCCTCAGCACCCAATCAGAATCCCATTCCACTCCTACCACCCGCTTCCCCATATACCCCTTGTGGTTCCTCTCCTTGCCCTGGACCCTCCTGAAGCATTCAGTGCTTTA